TTTTAGGGTTTGTTGTGTAGAAGACTAACGGTTTATGTCATTCATTTGTTTAAGTGAGTTAATAAAGAAAATATTATATAATTTGTGGTTTAATTTTTATTTTTTCACAACTGGAAGAAAGAAAATAAAATGTTTGGTACATAAACATTTCTCTCACCACATCTATTTCTAATGATCTTTTAGCTGTGAAATTCACAGCAGACGTTTGCATCAATACAAATAACACAGAGATGAAAATAAATCTATTTCATAAACTAAACATTTTTCTGTGTCCAGGTAAATGAGTCCATCTGTGTTCATTTACTGACACCTAGTGGACAATTAGAGGCATTGCCCTAAAAATAAAGTCCACTCATTACTCATTAAAAAGACATTTTGTGTATTTTTAACAGTAAATATTAAATATGTTGCATATTTATTGTAATGTATTGTTGTAAATCTGCATGGTTTGTTAATTTTATCTGAATTCTGTTAAACGTTCTTATGATGAAAGCTTTAAATACGAACAGTTCAACTTGAAGTTTTTATTTTCTAGCTAACCATGTTAACTAGTCGTACTTCTGCAGTAACTGTGAAGTACTTTTCCATACTGCTTGTGTACAGCGAGTGAAAAGCTCAAAGTACCACAGACCTTTGTTTGCAGAGCAGATTGAGGCTCCAGAGTTGAACCGCGTCTGAACTCAGTCCTGATTTTCTCTGTGACGTTCAACACTGCAGACATGCTGCTGAGGAGCTTCTGTCTGGTTTCTGCTCTGCTGTGGGCCGTCCACGCTGCTGAAGGTCAGACAAAACATCCATTACCTCAGATTATTGCTCTTAGAAACACACCTGAATGGCTTGTTTTAAGAATTAATCCCAGAAGTTGATTAAGTAAACAGCAGAATCTACCAGGTAACTAACTTTAGAAGCTACTGTGTTCAGACATTAATTAAAGAAAACGCCGTGAAGGTGAGTAACAGACGAATGGATGCACCGTCTGCAGTGTTTGTGCAGAAACATGAAGCCGCCTCGGTGCTGCGCAGATGGAGGAGAGCGAACAGCGGCTTCCTGGAGGAGCTGAAGCAGGGAAACCTGGAGAGGGAATGCATCGAGGAGATCTGCGACTACGAGGAGGCGCGGGAAGTCTTCGAGGACGACCAGCAGACGGTGAGCAGCTCGTTGCTCCGACTCACCGACGTCTGGAGAATAAAAACACTGACAAACTCTTTCTGCTCTTTCTCAGAGGGACTTCTGGAAAACTTATGACAGTACGTATCTTCCAGCGCTCACCCTGACTGATACATTGACGTTCGTTAATTTGGACCCGACAATCTGTTCCGTCAGAACGGGACCCCTGCCTGGTGAACCCGTGCTTTAACAACGGGACGTGTTTCTATATGGGAACCAGCTATGAATGTCAGTGTCCGGAGGGATACGAGGGACGGTACTGTCAGACAGGTAGCACTGCATTTATTTGAATATTTCTAGATGTTTCTGGTGTTTTTCCTATGATCATGTTAAATTACATTTGTAAGCGCCAAGAGGTCATCCAGCTGACCTTCAGATTGATTAGAGATGTGTAGAATAAGGAACAATGTATTTTTACTGAAGTAAAGCGAGTTAATTTGTATAACTGGTTATTTTAGAGTCTAAATGTGGAGAAAACAGCTCCTCTGCTGCATTAGCTTTTATTTTCAGTTTTTGAAGACACGCTGGGTTGCCTGTACCAGAACGGACACTGTGAGCATTTCTGTGACGGTTCTGGAGCGAGACGTAAATGTTTGTGTGCTGACGGATACCAGCTGGCAGACGATGGAAAGAAATGCGTCCCTAAAGGTGAAGGAAAGGCTGCAGCGCCCTCTAGTTTACGTGGATGTTTGCTGATGGTGTGATTGTGTTCAGTGGCGTTCCCCTGCGGGCGGGTGGCCTCCTCAGGCACCGGACCCAACCAGACCATGCAGGATCAGATCAGGCTGATGGGAGCCAACCACTGTAACCAGGGAGACTGTCCCTGGCAGGTAAACGCTGCTGCCCCCCACAGTGGCCAATCGGACGTCTGGAAATGAGCTGGAAGGTTCGACACATAAACTGCTAATGTTCCTCAACAGGTTCTGATTAAGCTGAATGGAAGCAGCCACTGCGGTGGAGTTCTGGTCCGACCGGACTGGGTCATCACGGCGGCCCACTGCGTTCATGGGAAGAGCCTCCAGCAGCTCGTTGTGGTGGCAGGTACAGCAGAACGTTAATCCCCTCTAAATATGTCCACTAATTAGTTAGGGGACGGAACGGTTATTTCATTTAGTAAATGTTTTGTGAAAAAAAAAAAAATAAGTGACCTGGATAATGTTTGTCATTAAAAATAAGTTCAGAAACATGAACCTCGTTAATTCCTCATTAAAACAAAAAAAAAAACTAAATTTGGTGAGAAAGTTTTAACGATGGCAGATTATGACAGTTTGGTTTTAGTGAGATATAATTCTCTCTAAAATGGGAAAGTTTCTAATCTTACTGAGATTCTGCTCTTTTTTTCCAAGCTTCATCAGTTGATCACTTCTGTAATTTTCAGACTTAACTGATTCAAAACTTTATGCATTTTTCATCTTAGTTGCGATTTAGAACAAAATGTGTCTTTGTTGACCAGGTGAAAACAATCTGGATGTGAAAAGTGACGCAGAGCAGACATTTGATGCCTCCGCTGTGATTCCCCATGAGAACTACAACCCGGCAACAGGCGACAGCGACATCGCCCTGGTCCAGATCAACGCCTCCGTCATTCTGAACCGATACACCGTCCCCGTCTGCCTCCCCACCAGACACTTTGCTGAACGGGAGCTGCTGCCGGTCCGATACCACACCGTGTCCGGCTGGGGCAAGAGGACCACCGGGGGCAACGCCTTCGCCTCCTCGGGCCGCCCGCTCGCCCCCGTCCTCCGTAAGATGAACGTCCCCATCGTCCAGAACTCCCAGTGCTCCCAGAAAGCCAAATTCAACTTCACCGACAACATGCTGTGCGCCGGGTACCTGGATGGAAACCAGGAGAGCTGCCGGGGTGACGACGGCAGTCCGCTGGTCACCGAGTACGGCTCCACCAGCTTCCTGACGGGCGTGGTCGCCTGGGGGCGGGGCTGTTCTCACCCGGGGTATTACGGGGTCTACACCAAGGTGGCCATGTTTGTGGACTGGGTGGAGGAAACCATCAAGAAGAGACAGAATCTCCTGCAGGAGCAAACCAGAGTTTAAAATCAGCCACAGATGCAAAATGTTATCCATGTTGTAGGACAGACAGTTTTCCATCTGTTCTCTGGATGCAACGTAAATGAATAAACCGTGGAATGAAAACATTCTGATTTCTAAAATTCTTATGATTTAAAAATATTTTATGACATGTTTGTTGAAAGTGTCACGATGGCCTAACAGAAATCTGAAAAAAATCAAGCTCCTCTGCCTTCTCCCAGTGTTAACAAGAAACAACCAATCAGAGCCAGGAGGCAGGTCTTAGCGCTGTCAATCATGCCTGTGTGCGCACCTGAAATTTAATTTCCTGCTTGAAATGTATAGTAGATGGTACCTCATCAATCTTCTCATCAGAACTGAAAAGGTTTTTAAATCCTGCTGTTTGTACGTCATCACACCATCACAAGACCTTAACTTCTGGTTAGGTGAGACTAAGACTGAGCTGTTTGGACATAATGAACATTGTTTGGTTGGAGGACAGTCTGCAAGCCTGAGAAAGCTAGAGTCTTTCTGGCTGAAGTCAGAGATGTTATTGCAGCTCCTTCAGGAGGAGCAGGAGTTGACTGAGCTCCTGCAAACGGTTGATAAACGGTCCAGCATCGCTCAGCTCTGCAGGGTAAACAGCTCCCAGGCTGGACTCTGGTGCTGCAGCCCTCCAGGAGCTTCCAGCTGATTGGCTGCTTCAGAGTCAAGATGGTGAAGTTCATGATGCGTCAGAGCGCTGGCGGTGTTTACTGGATGTCGGCTCTTCTTCTGTGCTGGAAACTCAGAGGTGGGAGTTTAACTTTAACCTGCATGGATGAAGCTGAAGTCACTTCAGGGAAAAACTTTGATGTTTTAATCATTTGTGGAAAAAGTTTTGTGCGTCTGGATCTCCTCACCTGAATCAGAATCTGACCAATCAGAGAACAAGGAGCTGAAAGTAACAGCAGCAAATACTTTAATAAGAAATGAACAATAAAAACGAGATAAATACAAACAATATGGGAAGCTGAATTTTTTTTATTTCATTGTGTTTTATTTTGTAACGCGACTTTCTTAATAAAGGCCCTATCAAATTCATAAAAGTTCACATGAAATGATAAGATACATATATTGATATTTTTAATGGGAAGCTTATATCAATAATAGGTTTTATTTATCTACTAATTTTAGATATTTTTAAGTATTTCTTTTTTAATTTAATCAAGTTTTATTTTTCTGACATTTGTTTTGTAAAAATACTTTATTTCAGGGTGTTTTATTTTTGATCTGTTTTTATTTCAGACTATTTTAAGAGAAATAAGCTCATCATTATGTTACTTTAAATATTTTGTTTTCTTTCACGTGTGCATTTGTTTACTTGATGCAGTATTTATTGTTTATTAATAATTGTAGTTATTTAAGTGTGGATGAATCGGCTCTGGATGTTAAAGAGACAGAAGTAGCAATAACTTTTTGCTGATAATGGCTTTTTGCTGATAATGGCTGAACAATCAGAACAAACTGTGACTGACAGCCGAGTCCCAAATTGAGATAAAACGGCTCTTCTTCTGTGCTCTTCCTCTTTTACTCCTGCAGGAAAATCCAACAACAGAGGCAGAAAATCTGGACTGAAACAAGGTTTCTGATGAACTAAGCTTGTTGCTTTCCATAAAAATGAACAGAAACTTCTTTATCACTTCACCAGAAGCATAAGCGTCCCTGTTTCACTGCAAAGCGCTGTGGGAGTTGTAGTTTTCCCAAAGGGAGCTGAAGGTCTGGCATTTGGAGCAGGATGCCTGAGATAAGGCCCGCCCAGACCAAACCTTCCTCCCCCAGCGCAGTTCGTTGCCCTCGCTGCCTGCCTGCTGCAGTCAGACTCCAGTCCTCCGAACCAGGACAGCGAAGGTTCTCCAACCGGGACCATGTTTCAGACTCTACGACCGACCCTGGGCCTGCTGCTGCTTCACCTCACGGCCGCTCACGGTACGTTGAGATCCACATTCAGGTGTCAGGACTGACGAAGAGGAGGAATGTGAGTGTGTGTGGATGTGTGTGTGGAGGAATGGGGATGTTGTTGATTGATAGCGACAGTTGACCTCAGGGCGATATATTTTGAGGTTTGAAGCATCTGGAGCATTTCTAGTCCTGGGTCGCCATGGATCCGTTTCTGTTCCCTATCCCCAGTTTTCCTGGACGGCAGGGAGGCCAACCAGGTTCTGACCAGGCTGAGACGGGCCAACAGCTTCCTGGAGGAACTTAAACAAGGCAACATGGAGAGGGAGTGCAACGAGGAGCGCTGCAGCTGGGAGGAAGCACGAGAGATCTTTGAAGATAAAGAAAAAACTGTATGAATCTAAAGACGTTTTCATCAAAATGCAAAGAAAGTCTGTCAGAAAACTTCTAATAATTCTGTATTAAACCATTTTATTCTGCTGGTCTTTCTTCAGGATGAGTTCTGGGCCATATACGTGGGTAAGATTCCTCTTCAGAACCCCAAAACAACCGACTTCCAGCTTTGTGGCATCTAACTGAAGTGACCTTGTCCTTTCTGCAGATGGCGACGCCTGTCTGTCCAAACCTTGTGCCAATGGCGGTCAGTGCAAGGATACGATTGGAAGCTACAAGTGCTACTGCACGGAGGGATATAAGGGCTTCAACTGTGAAATCGGTAAAGCAAAAGAGTCAATCCAAATGGTAATAATTGGGTGACACAGTAGCAGAAAGTCCATCCATCAATCTTCAGCTACTATGAAGACTTGAGGAGGTTTGAGGAACCCTTTGGCAACATCCTCTGAATCCATTTGCTTGGTCTTCTAAGCAGATTAGATTATTTTAAAAGCTGTTGCTCCTGAAACTCAACCCGATCAGGTGTTGAGAAGATGCAGACCTTGGACCTCAAAGACTTCTGAGGTCACATGTTCCTGACTCTTACAAATAAACCTGGGCACCGTTTAGTATTCTTTCTGTTCCAGAGTTACTGCACCACCGACTGTCCCAACATACCCTCTCCAGAGTTTTCAGTGGTTCCACATCCACACTTTAACTGCTGTGTCTTTCCAGTTATCCCGAAGCTCTGTGAAAATGAGAACGGCGGCTGTGATCATTTCTGCCGCGTTGCCAACAGAAACGTTGAGTGCTCATGCGCTGATGGATACTTCTTGGGCCCAAATGGAAAGTCCTGTGAGTCCAATGGTAAGTAAAGCACATCTGATGATCCAGCTTGAACGTAGAAGATTTGGACGAGTGATCAAACAACAAACAACTGCAAGTATCTTCAAATTCAACAACGGGATGTAAAAGTTTGGATTGGGGATTTTATTCCAATTCCTGACAGGGCCAAAAATACAGCTTGAGTTGGTCTACAACAGGACAATGATCCCACACTGGTCCTGGAAGCATTTGGCTTCTGGTCTGGCAGGTTGTTGCTTTCATCACTCCACCAGTAAAAAAAGTAATGAATGTGATCAGTGAACACAAACATATGATCATAGAAATATCTCTGGAAGCAATATAGCAAACCAGAGCTTCAGACACCAAATCATCATCTCAGAACTGATTCAGACCTCCTGAACTCTGAAATTCCAACCAACTCTTGCAGAGCCTTTTAAATGTGGCGTCCTTGTCAGCAACAAGGTCCGACGGTCCCTCGTAGACTCTGGAGATCTGAACATGAAAGAAGTGAAACCCCCCAAGCTGAATAACACTGCAAACTCTACGGAGCAAAGGAACGTCCTCGACCATGATGATCCGTTCTGGTCCAGAGACATCAGCAGCCAGCTCCCAGCTCCTATCCCCAATGAGATGAGTTTGGATACCATTGACAGGGTGGGGACTGTTCGGATTGTCGATGGAGAAGACTGTCCACCAGGAGAATGTCCATGGCAGGTAGTCACACAACAAAGTGATAATCTGAATGTTCTGGTCACAGACTCTGGTAGAATCATACCATTACTGGAGGTTGTTGTGTCCTGCTAGGCTCTACTGATCAATGAGGACAACATTGGGTTCTGTGGGGGAACGATTCTGACCGAGTACATCATCCTGACTGCAGCTCACTGCATGAACCAATCACGTTACTTCATCGTCAAACTTGGTAGGTCCGACCATTCAAACTGGAACTTCCTGTTTACCTTTTCAAATATTTATACTACTTCTTTTACAAGCATCATATAACATCAATAGTCTTTCAATATAATATACCTGTAGTTTAAATCTTCAGTTATTGCAGTGAAATGTGACGTTGACCGGGTGAGTGACGCATTATTATCTCCGTGTTTCCAGGTGAACACAACACCACTCAACAAACCGGTTGGGAAATGTCCATGACGTGGATGCCATCGGCTCCCACTTCAAGTACAACCCAGAAACCTACAACAACGACATCGCACTCATAAAACTGTCCAAGCCCATCAGGTTCAACAAATACATCCTGCCGGCCTGCTTACCGCAACCAGATTTTGCAGAAAACGTAAGAGGTTTCTGCTGTGGTTGATCAGGTTTTCTATAAAATGAGACCAGAATTTAAAAATCAGGGAAGCCACAGATGATATTTGTATATTGATTGTTTTGTTTGATGATAAGTGTTGCTAAACTAAAACAAAGCTTGACAGACTTGTGATGTGTTCTGTTGCAGGTCCTGATGCGGCAGAGGGACGGTCTGGTCAGCGGTTTTGGACGTCTTGGTGAGGGTCGAGAAGCATCTACGATCCTACAACGCCTCTCCGTGCCCTACGTGGACCGGCTCACCTGCATTGAATCCACCCAGTTGCGCATATCTATGCGCATGTTTTGCGCCGGCTACGATACAATAGCTAAGGATGCCTGCCAGGGTGACAGCGGCGGCCGCATGTCACACGTTACCATGACACCTACTTCATCACCGGCATCGTGAGCTGGGGCGAAGGGTGCGCACGCAAAGGGAAATACGGGTGTCTATACGCAAGTGTCTAAATACATCCACTGGATCAGAGAAGGCATCAAGAAGATGACGCCCAGAGGAGAGAACAGACAAAAGAGGGACCATGGCGCCATCAAGAGGATGTACCTGTAAGCTAGCTGGAACAACCCGCTGAAAATGTAATTATGTAATCACTTTTTAGCCAAACAGGTGATCAATCTGTAAAGAGCAACATGCTTTATCGAGTGACCACAATACAGATGGCGTTCCTCAAGGTTGACACTTCGTATCCCTTCATTTTCCGTTTTGTTTAAGTTCATTGTTGATTTGAATATTTGAGGTAGCAGAAAGACTTGACATTTAATAAAGAAATAATTTACTTTCTTCCACTTGAAAAACTGCTCAGAAATGTATTTTCTTTAATCTGAGTTTTTCTTTTGGGACCAGATTTCCACCAATAGTGTTTCAGCATCACACAAACTTAAAAACCTGCTATTCTGATGAAAGGTTTGCTGGACAGAATTATTAAACACCTAGAAAACTATTACATTTCTGTTTGCTTGTATTCTTTAACATCTGTTTCAATAAATATTAACATGAGCTAATCTTCAACAAAATAAAGGCAAACACATTCAACAAATTTAAGGAAAAATACAAATTTGACATAAATTTAAAGAATATTTACTGAATGCCATATATCATTATTCACTTATTCAAGCTTTTGCTTGTAAAACAAATATTACGAATACAAATGACTAAATTAAAAAAACAATAAAACTTTAATTATATTTAATGTACATTGTAAAATATTTTTAGCTCTAATCTACAGAATTACATTGCATGAATTTAGATAAATTTGGAATTGCTGTAAAAACTATTTATAAAGCTTTTAATTAGAAATAAATAAATTATAAATACATTTAGACTGATTTCTATCTTAAATTAATGTAGAGATGTTACTTTTTGTGGTACTGAAAAATGTAAGTTTTTGATAATTGTAAGTTTATTTATTTGAAATTTATCAGTTTCTTTTTTTGAATAAACACTGAAGATTAATAAAGTGAACTTTGATCCCCCATCTGCTCATTTGGGCCCAAATCAGAACCAGGTCTGATTTGGGGCCCAGATCAGTGAAAGATTCTGATTTATTGATCTTGAAGTCCCTCTGTGTTTACCTGAAATCAACAACAACCTGAACGTTGAGGGTTCAGAGGTCGAAGCTGCTGCTTGTTTTGACGGATTTAGAGGAACAGAGTCTGTTGAAGGAGGAAAATGTTTTTTCATTCGTCTCTTTACAGAATCAAGCTGAAGTCTGTTGACACATCATTTCCAAAGTGACTCAGATCTTAGCAGTAATTAACTCCTAATTGAGCAATTATGTCACTGTTGTACTTTAGGAAACAGTCTCTGGATAGTCAGGTCAACAGATTGAGGACGAGTTAAAGTCCAGCCATTTATTCACCTATGTCCACATTAAGTGAGTCCCTGCTGTTCCTGTGTGTTTGTTGAGTTGAGCTGCTGAGTCAAAGCTGAAGCCGTCAAACATCATGTCTGTGTTTCTGCTCGCCATCTGCCTCCTGGGAGGTTCCTTCCTCCAGGTGTTGAGCCAAGATAAAGGTGAGATCAACCGTATTTATTTGTCATGTTGTGTATTGGTTAGCCGGCTGCAGTGAACCAGAGCTGGAAAAGCATAAATGTTTGAGTATTTGAGTTTCTCCATGTCCAACACTAGCAATATTCAAAGATGGGTTCTGGTTCTGGGGTTCGTTTCACAGGGGAAAACCGATCCATACCAGAAAACATTTTATCACTGCAGATCATGGGGGTGAAAGAAACATGCAATGCTGAGCACCACCAACTAAGAGGTTAGCTGTGCTAACCAAAAGTATTAATCATAACCATTAGCCTGTATAATGCTAAATAATGATAAATATAATGCTCTAAGATATTGTATTTATCTCTGGATCAGATCCATCAATACATGTCTCTGACTTTATTTCTTGTTTTAAATAAAGTTAATTGAGAAATTCTTAAGTCGATAAAAAACTTTAACACAGATTTCTTCAACTCAGACGTTAAAAAACAGGCAAGTAATTTTTCCAGAATTTATCTGCAAAAATTGAGGATAAAGCTAAGTGTGCCAGTTGTTTTCAAAGTTAGCAAAGCACTAAACCAAAGTTATCTAGGCTATAATCACATTAGAGAAATGGAAACAGGTGTTGCCCAGTGGGCATCACTGAGGCTAAACGATATTATCGTAGATGAAGGAACCAATAACTGGAGCTGAACATGTTGGGATTAGCAGATAATCAGATCAAGTATTCAGTTTTCATCTAAATGTCTTATGAAAACTTGTCAAAATGCTGGTTTTACTGGGATTTCTGCTCCTTGTCTTCCAGGGCTTTGCGACAATGAGAACGGTGGCTGTGAACATTTCTGCCATGTTGTTGGAGGAAATGCAGTATGCGCCTGTGCTGACGGTTACTTCCTGGATCAGGACAACCAATCCTGCAACTCCAACGGTAAGAGAGGCTTTCAGACCACCAGCCCTGACCCCAAACACAAAGGAGAGGAAAACCTTTTGGCGTTTTCTCCTAAATTCATGAGTTCCTTCAAATGTTGTTGAATTGGAGCAACACCAGAGTGGTTCTTCTAGTAACTGAACCGCCTGATGGTTCCTGTCCTCCAAACTCACTCAGAGACTTTTAGATGCGGCGCCATTATCACTGACGATGTCCACAGACAGAACAGAACCGAGAAGAGAAGCTTCACAGAGGAGCAACATGTCCGCCAGAGGAACACAGCAGTGAGATCAGCTCAGACAGGGAAGCACAGACCAGAACCATCAATGGACAGGACTGTCCACCAGGACAATGTCCATGGCAGGTAGACACTCTGCAATGTCAGGACAGTTCGAGTCCATTTGTCCTCTCCTTCTGCTGTTCTGTCCCCAAAGGCTCTCCTGATCAACCAGGACAACATCGGATTCTGTGGGGGAACGATTCTGAGTGAATACATCATCCTGACTGCGGCTCAGTGCGTGGCCCAGACCCGGTACCTCAAAGTCAGGCTCGGTAGGTTCAACAATCCAAACAAAGCTTCTGGTGCAGGTTTAATATAAATACAAGAACTGATCTGAATAAAGCGAGCAGTTCAAAACATCCTGATTTAATTTGGACCCAGAATATGCCACATAAATCCAAAACTGGAAATCTGCGTCCAGGAGTCTTCAACACGTCCCACAGTGGTGATAATGAAGCCTTGCATGTGGCGGACGCCATCGTCACTCACCATGGTTACAGCCCACAGACCTACTTCAATGACCTTGCTCTGGTGAAACTGGCCACGCCCATCAGGTTCACCAGGTACATCCTGCCAGCCTGCATGCCGGAGCCGGACTTCATGGAGAAGGTAAACCTTTTACTACGCCCGTGACTAAAGATTGTTTACTATTTTCTGAGACATTTGGAATCTGGTCTTGTTTGTGCAGGTTCTGATGCGGCAGCCGGATGCGCTGGTCAGCGGTTTTGGACATCTCGGTGAGGGTCAGCCGTCTACCATCCTACAACGCCTCTCTGTGCCCTACATGGATTGGCAAACCTGCATGGACTCAACGCCGCTCAGTATCTCCTTACGAATGTTTTGTGCTGGCTACGACTCAATGGGGGAAGATTCCTTTCAGGGCGACAGCGGCGGCCCGCATGTCACATTATCATGGCACCTTCTTCATCACCGGCATCCGGAGCTGGGGCAAAGGTCACGCCCGCAAAGGGAAATACGGCGTCTACACACAAGTGTCTAAATTCAACCGCTGGATCAAAGAGGGAATCAAGAAGCTGACGCCGATAGAGAAGCCCAGTACCAGGACGAAGAGGCACCACGGCGCCGTCAAAAGGTTCCGTCTGTAGACAGAAATCATCCAGTAACTCTTGTACCTCGGTAATTCAGATACATGGAAGTTTTCTACTGCAATATGTCATCCTAACAGAAAGGAGTCCCTCAGGGCTGTAAGTTTAGGCTCCTGACTTTTAGAGTTGTTTTGGTCTAATAAAAGTAAAACCTTTTTAGTTGAAGTAATTGTAGTAAATACATTTACAGTAGATCCCAAAACTAATAACATTATTAAGATTAGTCTAGTCAAAAAATGTCTGTTTTGGGGTATTTTGTATAATCCATCGACCAAAATAAAGATTTGAATAATAGAAACAAAAGAAACACTGTCTTGTTTTGTTTATTTTTTACAAATATGACACATTTTTGGCTGTTTTTAAAAACTTTCAGTTGAATAAAGTTTTGACATTCAAGTTGAAGGTTTGGTTATTGACTCTTTATTAATTATTCAAGTAGGTAGTAGATGTCTATAATCATGATCTTATTTTTAAGAAACATAAAGTGAAATCAGTAGAGAACAAGATATTAATGCAATGTTTAGTGGGATTATAGGTAAATTATAATGTCAAAATTTAATTAGTTGTCTTTCGAGGAAAATATCATTTGATTTGAAGAAGCGGTTTAGCTTCAGCTAAATATTGACTTGGTTTAGTGGTTTAGTGTTTGTGTATTTAATATTTATAATTAGTCAGATAACCTTTTATTCAGCACTGCCCAACACTGCATAAAGATGTTATTTAGTCAAATGTCGACTTAATCTTGTGATAAAGAATGATCTATGTTTTCTTTTGTCAAGTTTAATTAGGAGAATGTGGTTTTCTATGTTTCAACAGTTTCTGAGCACTAGCGTCTCTGGATGATATTAAATGATTGATTTCTGGGATGTTTGCCTGAAATAAACAAGCCAGCTCTGGCCGGAGCCTCTTTGTGTGATTTAGGGGAACAGAGTCCACCGCCGGAACAGAACCATCCCTCTAAACTGTTTCTGTCCCACTGAACTCTTTACTGGAACACGACAGAGATGATTTCCAGGGGTTTTTCACCCGTTTAGCTGGAATATGAAAGAAAGGGAGAATCGTTGCGTTAGCGTGGATCGTCCAGCTGATTTTGTGTGTGTGTATTTGTGTGTGAGCAGTGCTGTCAGTGTAACGGCGGTCCACATCATGTCTGCGTCTCTGATCGCTGTCTGTCTTCTGGGATGTTTCCTTCAGGTGTTCAGTCAAGGTGACGTAAGAAAACGGATCTATTTGAACTCTGGGGTCTTGAACAACTAGGGGCAGTTGTTCAAATAATAACTGTAATTACCTACAATAATTTAAAATGATTGTTATTTATGTTGCTTTGGTTCATATTTTTAACCCAACGCTGTCAGTTGACTGCTGCTTTAGTTGGGGTTTCTCATTCTTTGCAGGGTTTCGTGTGGCTCCTGGGACGCACGCCGTGTTCCTGCGATCCAAACGGGCCAACCAGTTCCTCCTGGAGGAGATCCTGCAGGGGAACCTGGAGAGGGAGTGCTACGAGGAGCTGTGTAACTACGAGGAGGCGCGGGAAGTGTTTGAAGATGATGAGCGCACGGTGGGTCCAAGGAAGGAAAGCCGAGTCAGAGACGTTTGACCTTTGATTCTAACAGATCTTTGTTCGTCTACAGAAATCCTTCTGGACCATCTACTATGGTGAGTTCTGATCCAGGACAATATTCATTCTTCTTGAACCTCCAGTTTCTAAAGTTCTGACTCTCTCGGCGCTCCCAGATGGAGACCAGTGTCTTCCCAACCCTTGCCTCAACGGGGGGAACTGCACGGACAAGGTGGGGGGGTTCTTCTGCGCCTGCAGCCCCCCCAACTATGGACACATCTGTGAAGTGGGTCCAGTTGAAGCTTCGGTCCAGGAGGTCTGGAGTCTCAGTACAAAGCTCCAGGTAAGGCCAAACCCAAGCTGGGGGCGTCAGTGGTTTTCAAACCGTTTCATCCAACAGCGTCTCTCTCAGCGATAGCAGAGTGTCCGACCCGAGGCCCCAACGCATGCCACCAGCTGTGCACGGCGGACTTCCACTCCTACAAATGCTCATGCATGTCGGGATTCGAACTACAGAGTGACATGCGGAGCTGCCGACCTCAAGGTGAAAACCCTCCAGCAAGGCATCGCTTACCAAACCAGCTCAGACTGGGGGAATAACCGTGTCTGTGTGTCCACAGTCCAGTTTCCCTGTGGGAGGATCCATGACACCAACACTTCAATCTGTCACCATGGAAACTGCCCTGGCAGGTAACGAGCTCTCAGCCAATCTGTAAAGCCCAGATTCACCCAGCAGTAGATGCGGCTACTGGAGGGTTTGATTCGTGTTGCAGGTGTCCCTGACCAACAGCAGCCGGGTGGAGCTGTGTGGAGGAGTCGTTCTCGGACGGCGGTCCATCCTGACCGCCGCCAGCTGCCTCTTCCTCAACTCAGGAGACGACCCCGACCCTCACAATTCTCCATCGTCACAGGTACCAGAACCTCGATTGCTCCAGTCTGGAAGTTTCATCCATCCAGTCCGAGTTTTATTCAAACATTTTTTAAACTATGGCAACAAAAATAATAGAAGATTTTCCTCTGAGATCAAATCCGACGATGAAATAAACAAACTGAACCCTAAAATGCAGCAATTTGTGCTTTGAGGCGTTCCTTCCCCATAATGCACCTTACTAATCTTTCTCACTTATGAAGAATATGAATGCTAATCTTCTTACCTTTCATAAATGTTTGTCGCAAATCCATGAATACACCAAGAGCTGCTGTCCTTCGCCTGTTTGTCTCGTCTGTTGGTTCCCTTTCATTCCCAGCGGTTCATGGGGAAACCTGGAAGAACGAAAACTCTTCAGGATCAACAAAATGTTTTCACAGGAGGATAAAGGATTCAAACGCATCACTGCGTGTGTTGTTAGAGACGGTTCTGTTAAACTGGGATTATTCAGCTTAAACTGAAACAGAGATTAAAGATGACTCTACCTCTGGTGCTTTGTCTCCTAGGAACGGGAAGGTCTTCCATGTCCAAGCGCTCTTCGTCCACGAACGTTTCCGTTCAGATCGCCACGACTTTGACCTCGCCCTGCTGGAACTGACCACGCCCATGACCTTTGGCCCCGTCCTCTCCCACCTCTGCCTGCCCACCAAGGACTTCAGTGAAAACATCCTGATGCATTCTGGGAGGACGGGACTGGTCGACAGGAGGGGGCGTGGCCAGAACCAGGAGCTGGTCTACATGACGCTGGACGAATGTCGAGGAGAGCTGAACGTCTCACAGTCGCTCAACAACAAAATGTTCTGCATGAGGAGGAGGAACCACGGCGGGCCGAGGAGAACGGGACCATCGGCGCGGCTCAACACCGGACCTCCAGAAAAGCTAAACGGGACTCAGAAAGCACCAGCTTTGGACCGGAACCGGACTCAAACTGAAAACTTTCCCACCAAACGTGGCTTAAAGGAGCAACAGCATGTGTCGCCACCAGGTGGCAGCAGGCGGCAGTGCGGCGGTCTGCTGCCGGGGTCGGCGGTCGTCACGGTGGAGAAAGGAACAGCCTTCCTGACGGGGCTGCTGATGTCTCCGACCGCAGACTGCCGCGGTCAGGTGTTCACCAAGGTGTCCCGCTACCTGAACTGGATCCGGCCGAGGCTGCAGGCGGCGGAGGATCACATGACCCCGCAGGTCAGCGAGTACCCGGAGGCCCGCTGAGCACGCAACGGTTCCGATTCACTTCTACGTTAAATTATTGGACGCTTCAGCGGTTTAGATGAAAATAACCTTATTAATATTGGAAATCTGTGGAATCTGATTTAACACAGAACAGCATAGATTATAATGGATGATAAATAAATGCTTTTAAAAATTGCTTTGTTGTCATTTTTTAAGAAAACATCACGATAAAATAATCCAGAATTTCCACTAACATCTAGAAACCAAAAATGTTTTATTCAACAAGCTTTTTACACAAAGAAACATATAAAAGATCAGTTTACAGGGGGATTGTGGGTAATGTAGTCTAGGAAACAGAAGACAGGGGAGGGAAAGGATTCTGTTACTGACCACGAGCTTCTGGTGCTGATGGGAGATGTAACCTTTGATGTGACCCTGAAAGGGACAGAACCAGTCAGAATGTCACCTGGACTCAGGTGTGGCTCCAGGTCTGAGCGCGCTCACCATGTAGATGAGGTTGGCCAGGAGACACTGCATCTCGTCGATGTCCACGTCCTCCACCTGCATCATCCGCAGGGCCACCAGGAAGGAGTCCAGGGGCAGCTGGTGGGTCTTCAGCAGCAGATACCTGCAACCAAACACAAACAGGTCCATCAGGGTCACACCAAACCTGTCCTCCATGAGCCACTGAAACCAGGACGCCTTTCTACACGTCAGACCCAGAAACCCAGGAGCTGCAAACCAGAACCACAACCTGGAAGGACAGAGACGACCTCACGACTCAGGTTAAGATCTGGGTCAGAACCGGGATCTGGAGACATGGTGGTGGTTGTTTACATGTCAACATGTTGCCGCTGCGTCAGACTCACACTTTCTTGAAGAGGTTCCTGTAGGTGATGATCTTGAGTTTCTCCAGGATGAGGAAGATCCCGCAGCGGATGAAGAAGGTCTCGTGTTTGGACAGCGCCTCGTTCAGCAGCAGCAGGTTCCCCTCACTGGGAAACACACCGAGGTCATGTGACTCTGAGTGACATCACTTCCTGCTGATGTGGCCCCGCCTCCCTGCTTACCTCACAGCCTTGGTGACGTCAGCGAACTGAATGAGGTCGTACTTCCTGAGCAGCTGGTGAGTCGGCATGTGGCCTGAAACGCAACCAGAACCAGGTTAGATCCGGGTCATAGTGGATCAGAACCGGTCCTGTGCCGGTTCCGATCCGGGATGAGCCAGTGGAGCTCCTGACCAGCAGCATCTTGACCGGCAGCAGGTAGATGAGGATCATCCTCTTGTTCTTCTGGCTGGAGCGGTGGCAGCGGTCGAAGGCGAACGACAGCAGCTCCTCAGCTGGACACAAAAGGTCAGCAATTCTCCAGAAGAACCTCCAGAACCTCCAGAACCCGCCCAGTCTTACCCGTCTTAAAGTCGCTGTCGAACATGGCCTTGCGGCCCACGTAGTACTTGTAGGTGACCTTCTGGGCCGGGCTGTACTCGTTCTTCAGGTTGGAGCTGTCGATGGCTCGGATCAGAGGTTTGCACAGGTGGAGCTTGTTGATCTGCAGGAGAACCAATCAGACGTTAGCCTGACCGGTTCTGACCCAAACCTCCCGGTTCTGACCCAGCTCAGCACCTTGAAGTAGATCTTAAAGAGCTGGTTGCTCAGGAACATCATCCCCCACTTCTTGGAGTCGTCGATTCCGGCTCGGCTGTGGCGGGTCAGAACAGAACACGTGAACACGGCCGTCTGGCAGAACCAGAACCACAGAGCGGGTCCGAACGGAGCGGGACTCACTTGTCGCTGGCGCAGACTCTGAAGCAGCTCATCAGCTGCTCTGCTGCCTTCTCCAGCATCTCCCCCGGTTGACCTTTGCCCTTCTTCTGCAGCTGCTGCTCCGCCTGGAGACACAGAGAGAAACCAGCAGAACCAGTGACCCAGTCAGCTGGGAACACTGGGAAACAGTTCAGCAGCAGGTGGGGGAGGGGTCTCACGTTGTTGGCGAATATCCGGAGGTCCAGAGTGACGGCGGACATGACGGGCAGAGCCCTGAAACACAAACACATCAGTGATGCTGCGTTCACGGTCGGCGTGTTCACGGCAGTTACTCACCAGTTCTCCTCTTGTGGGACTGGAAGGCTCTCAGGAAGGACGTCAGGGGTCAAGGTCATACAGTCGGCTAATAATCATTCATCCAAACACACAGATCAGCTCTCAAGAAAGGATATTGAACGACGAGCGTCTGGAACTTGTAAGACGAAGTCGTGATTGGCCACGGCGTAAGTACACTGGAACACAGGTTAGAAAAACTTCAGTTAGGGATGAAGGTCATCGCCATAGCAACACTCTGCAACAGAAGTTCAAAATAAATAAAAATACTTGAACATTTTGTGAAAAAAGATTTTCAGGCAGCAGAACTTTTTTTTAAATTACAACTTCAATATTTTTGGACTCATGGAGTTTTTCAATTAAGATAAAAACAATAAATAAAAACTTTTACTGCCAGGCATCAATAATCGATAACCGAACTGGAAGGTTCACCTGAGATGAGCCGCAACCATTTCATCATACGGCGGCTCCAGAATCTGCTGGCACTTCTCCTCCGGACTGGCCAGCTGAACACACACACAGGTGAGGCTGTATCCTAGCAACCCTGACTCTGTGGCTAAGTGGGGGGGCCTTACCTGCAGGCGGGGGTTGGCTACATGCGGGTTTGAAGGAGAGCAGCTCGGCGCAGAAGGAGCCCTCATGGTTCTCGATGGCCTGGTTGATCTGCAGGAAAACAGAGTTTGTTTGAAGACCAGGAAGACAGAACAGGTGAGGCCAGGCTGGGGGTCAGAGGTCACCTGCTGCAGGTACTGGTTGATGGTGATGTGAGCCATGCTGATTAGGAGCTGTTCCCACCTGGAAAACACGTGCAACACTGATTAGGTGATTTTAAGCCTGGACTTTGACTGTGCCGCAGTCTGTAGTGCCGGTTTCAGATGCAGCTCTTGTCCGACATCCAAACTAAATGTTTAAACTGCCTCACTAGCATTCAGAAAGGTATGATAAGTCAGAGACACACCAGGAGTCAGGAGTCTTGCCTAGAGGAACTAAGACGTGACCTCTGGTCTAACTGGAAGAAGAGCATCCTGCAGCATGACACTGCCACCTCCGTGCTTCACAGCTGAACATTTGGGCATTTGCTGCAGTGTTTTTGCTTTTTTTCCATTCTAATACACCATTATCTCCCTAAATATAACTCATTTATAATATGTTATTGATTATATAATCCACACGAGCTCTTGAAAAAACACATTATTTATTCGGTCATTTATAACGAGCTAATTAGCAAAATGGTACCGTAGCGCTTCTTTTCTTGTTTTCGTAATTAAACTCGATTTAAAACAAGAAAAAATAAAGCCGAAACCAAAACCACGTGTAATATAAATAAAAACAGTCATAGAAAACATGTTGAAGCTCTTAAACTTTTCCCTAAAACCAAAACTTCAGTACTGTGAACCAGGTTTGGTGATGATACACTGTATAAACATTTAGCGTATAAACCGGTTAAAACCGACTGGTTCCGGACTATAAATGAAAGTCAAACACTAATAGAGACTCAACTATAATTACAAAGAAACTGCAAACCTTTTAATGAAGCTTTAAGATGAAAAACAAGCCATGAAGCTCCCGGTTATTCAATCGGAAACACGGACCGTTTCTAGTGACGGACAAGACTGTTTCCGGAAGTACTAATGTCAAAATAAAAGACTTCCGTTGTCGATTAGATTTCAATTTAAAGTAAAATTACGAATTTGGAAAATAATTAAAAAGCATCTGGAATTTGTCCTTACACCGCCAGATAAAAATGATATAAAGAATAAAAAACTGCAAGATTAAAGAATAAAAACTATAAAAACTATAGATGCGTATATTTTTATTAAGTGAAAATCTTACAACATAACTGCAGCAATTACGGCTTTTATTTCCTCTTCGTCTTCTTGAAGACAAAATAAAATAAAACCAACAAATTCTTCATCAACTGAACAAACAGTCGTATCACAACTTTTCTTTCTTTTGCAGATTAATTTATACATTTAAAGTGAATATTTTTCGCACAGAAACATCGGAATAAAAGACGAGCACGATCGGGACACCAGAGGGCGCCAAATTGTCACTTAATACTTAAAACTCATCACTGTTTATTTTATTAAACAAGGTCAAACTTTTATCACAAAGCATTAATCACCTACATGAATAATATTGATCTGGATGTTGCACAGCAGGTTTTATGTTCCCTACAAACACCTTACATTTCTGACAAAATGTAAACGATACAGATTATTTATTGAGCTGGATTCACATGAATTACTATGGAATGATGTTGCCTTGGAAACGTAGCTCACAATAAGTACATTCAGCTCATTTTTAGAAATTAGAAAACGTCATCATGACTTTATCATTTCCAACAAAACATCTGGATGATGGCTTCCCATTAGTTGTCCGATTAGCTTCCTGCTCAGAAAGAGTGGGCGGGGCCAGGTGACCATCCAGCTCCGCCCACTCGGCCGTGGCCTGCATTCTCACTGCTGATTGGTCCATGGAGGGTAGCACATGGAGAGTGGGAGGGGCTTATCTCTGAGCATCCGACGGTCCACAGACACGGATACTGGCTGGAAACACACACACACACACACGCACACACACACACACACACACACACACACACACACACACACACACACACACACACACACACACACACACCTGTGTTACACCTGAGCTCAGGTCTGAGAGGTCAAGGTGTGGGTGGGGCTTCACCTGGAGCTGTGAGGAGGGGGAGGAGCCTGTGAGGACGGAGCGCTGCTGGTCATTGACAGTGAGGAGGAGGAGGGTGAAAAGGAGGAGGAAGATGAGGCAGGACGAGGAGAAGCAGCGCTCCAACCTTCATGAAGAACCGGAACGCCATCAGAGATCAGGTTCACTGGGAAACACAGCAGATGGGAAAACATTGACATCCCGATCCGGGTTCCAATCAGAAACTGATCCTGGTTCTACATAGAAACTGATCCTGGTTCTACATAGAAACTGATCCTGGTTCCACATAGAAACTGATCCTGGTTCTACATAGAAACTGATCCTGGTTCCACATAGAAACTGATCCTGGTTCTACATAGAAACTGATCCTGGTTCTACATAGAAACTGATCCTGGTTCCACAT